GAATTGTATGAAAAGCTATTCACCTTAAAGTCTAATTATAGGCATAACCGTTGGCTTGAAGGTAAAAAAAATTTATTAGTAATATTTTTGATAATAAAATTAAAACTAATAGTTAATAGACGAAACTAATTTACTTTATAAAGGATGAAAATTATGTTTACATAGATTATTTTTATTGTACAGAAAGACTTAGCTTATTTACAGGTAGCAGTCAAAAGTTGAGGAGAGGATTTAAAAATCGTCGTATGATTGATCTTGTTTGCATGTACAACTTAATTGTATCACGTTAACAAGACGAATGTTAGCATTGAAACTGGTTTTCATTTGATGATTCATATTAGCAGCCAATATAGATTCGAAGTAAGATTATGATTATGAATATTAAACATAGGTTTAACTGAGCTTAACTCGACTTACCGTATGGTGAATTTGGTACCGACATACTATCGCACCCCCATTACCTATCTTAATTTTAATTTGAATGGCAAGACTATAGATGAATATTTAGAGTGGTATTTATAATTTGTAAATAATAAGTTTGTTTTGTTGTAAGTTAATTATTTTTTTCTTTCATATTTTGTATATAATATTAATAATAATATACATTAAGGCTAACATAATTAGCCATTGCATCTAGTGTTATGCATGTGACAGGATGAAGTACAAGAACAGGTATAGATCTTTAAACATAGTTTTTTCATATACATATTCTATTTTACATCATGAAATTTAACATTTTTACATGTGATAATGAATACTGTACAAATATGTGCGGTACAATCCACCATACAAATACCTTGTTATTTAACCGACAAATGTATAGGTGTTTTTATTTTAACCATATTTAATATTATTTTTTAATATCATTAAAATAATTCTATTGCAGTGATTGATATGTCAAAGCAGACCGACACAATTACAGTCCCGTCTTTTGACCTACGTATTGAAATTGAAGCATCATCCGCGTTCCCTGCTAATACAACTGCATATGCTATAGTAATTTCAGACAATGTATTTACTTAGACACCTTTTGACGGTACCATCCGTATATTTTAACATTTTTTACATGTTTATGTAAACATTTATTATTAACCTTGTAATTATTATTATTATTATTATGAAATAAATATATTATATACAAATAACAACAATTTGTTTTTCATTTTAGATTATAAGTTTAATATAAGAAACTAGTACAATATATAAAGTTATTGTTTATAAATTATTAATGTAAGTTAATTTTCTGTCGTGATTGGGTTTCTGCCATTGTGAAGCCCATGGACATTTTGGTATAACACAATATTCTCTCCTTTTCCCGGAGGTTATTGTAGAAATAATGTTATTTCATCCCTCATGCCGCAAATAATATTTAAATAGTCCGCTGACATAATATATCGTGAAGGAGTAATAATGCATACCGTAACATTGAAGTCATCATTTGGATTACAAAAATTTTCTGTCGCTGAACGCAATAGTGTAACTGCTAGAGTCAATCATCTCGGCTGGCGGTGTTGGTGAGATATAAATGTAGCGCTGTTTTCTTACAGGTTCGGCAGCCATATTGTTCATAGAGTAGAGTCTTCTTCTTAGAGCTGATGGTTCTTGATGACACTGTGACTTTATCAACAATTTCACGCTCATGTATGCGGAAATATCACATATTTTCATAGGGGGTCAGCAAATCACAGATTACACATCTCTGTAAACTAGCCTTTTCGTTCACCACTTAAGTTATTTCACTTTAATATCATAATAATTAAATGTAAACTCTCGATTTCTAAATATTTTTATACAAATATATGTAATAGAGTATGTGTATACATATGTTTTATACAAAAACGATTACACATTAATGTCTATTAACAAACGCAGTAGTATAACTGAATAACCAAAAAAGAATTTGATAAAATATTATTTCTAACGTATAAATATTTTCTCTTTAATTAAAAAGTAACTGAATTCTTATGAAATAGTAAAATATTACACATATTTATTTATTTACTTTAATATTATAATAATGATCATCTTATGATGAATTTTATCATCGCCTCCCCTTCTATGTAGGTGTAAATAGTTGGTCTACTGTTTTAATACATACTTTAGTCAAGGAAGGGAGACCCTCTATGATCAATACACGTCAAAGTTGGGTTTTGTTGGGTTAATATGCCGCCGCTCGATTGCACCTTTCACTTTTCACATTGCACATTGCACATTGTACATTGCACATTGTGTTAAAAGTCATATATTATATCTACTCTTAATGTTAATTATTTATTGTACAAATTGTGTGTGTAAAAAATTGTATATACATAATGTTAGGGGTTCATTTAATACTTGGGGATCTAGGTCGAAACCAAGAAATGGTAGCTACCCGACGTTTGTTCAAATATAGTCCCCATTCCCTTAAATGAGGTTTATTTAACTGAAGCACAGACAGATAATCGTGTACCTTAGTAACTAGTGAGAGATTATATAGCAAAGTTAAACTACAACGTTTTATCAACAACAACATTATATTTAAAATACTCAGTAAATATAAGATATATGTGATGTATAATATGTATAATATGTCTCACCTGAACCTAATACAGTAGGTCAGTGGCGGCTCATGGTTTGGACCACGAGACGATCGCACTACTCACTAAAATTAATTATAATTAATTGTATATTCTTAATTCTACATTTTTAAAAAATATATTTTAAATTTGCATTTTTAATATACAGAGTGGCCCACCACTCACTGACAACTTAAATAACTTTTGATCCAGTAAATATTTTTAGTTGATTTTTTTTTAAATAATAGTTATACGTTAGATCTATAGCTATATCTCAATAATTCATTTTTTTAAATTTTATTAAAAATATTAATTTTTTTTAAATTTTAAATAAAAAGTAAAAAAAAAAATCTAAGATAGCTATTTTGTAGAGTAGAATTTAAGAAAAATTTTAGTAAAAAAATATCTTTTTAATATTGAGTAGTAAACATTCTGTAGCGTTTTAAAGTTTGTGAAAATTTGAATTTTCATATATTATTTTACGGTATTAAACATTGAAATACGTATTGAGAAAAGGACAGAAGAAAACGCTATCTTTTCATGATTATTGTGTATACATATGATGATAATGTGTATACATTACAAACTTGGCATTAATACCATGATAAGAAATTAGGCAATTATTACTTATCACTCTCATTCAAAAGTATGTCATTTTCATGGAAAAAGTTACACACCTCCAAATTATAGTAATCATGAAAAGATATGTATATTGTTGCGGTCGCATCGCATTTCCGTTGTTACCGCCGGATGACGATCACAGCGCTTCCTCTTCACGTCCAACGGGTCGTGCTATTCGCGGTGGCCGAGGGGCGGTGCGAACCGGTCGCTCGGGCGCTGGAAAATTAAGATTTGATGATTCTTTTTATGTCAACGGTCACCGTCACTTACTAGAAAAAAGCACTTGTATTAAACATCTATTTATTTAAACTATTGTTAATATTAAATAATATTGTTTCATCTTTGGAATAAACACTTCTAGTGTTATTGCGTAATTATTGTTATTATATTTACACCTAATTACCCTGACTACATCAACTTAATCTTTGAAATAATTCCAGAAATAATGCGTCCTTTTAATATATGTTAAATTAAAGGTTATGTTACGTATTATATTATATATTTTTTTTATATTGAAACCTTTGATATTTCCCTTTAATTTGGTATAAATTTTTTGATTATCCAATCCTTTATCTACCTACAGGAGGGGATTCAGAATAGAAATTTTTTTACAAAAGTCAATTTATTCAACTTAACTTTTGAAAATATTCAGGAAATACCACGTCCTTTAAACATATTTCAAATTAAGCTTATGTTACGTATTATAAGTTCAAAAAAAAGATTTGTCCGGACGACTTATATTCTATGTGCAAAAGGCTGGCGACATTAAAAAAAAAATGTAATATTGGCAAAAAAAATTACCTTTTATCGTGATGTTTTGTTAACTTAAAACTACCATAACTTTGTGAAATATTAACAAATCAAAATAATACTTTTTTTATATTGAAACCTTAGGTATTCTACTTTCATTTGATATAAACTTGTTTTAAATTTAACAATTTACTTGTTTCTTTAAATATAAGTTAAATTAAAGCTTATGTTACGTACTATAAATTACTTATTGTTACATGCTTACTATTTAAAAAAAAACATTTCTATAACGCTCCAATGAATGTAAGATATAACAAACAATAAAAGAAATGATCAAATCATTAATTTTCATCAAAAGTTAAAATGTTTTTGTTAAAATTATTGTTGTATTTTAAGTTTATAAACTAAATTCTTTAACCTAAGATATTTTACTTTCATTTTATATAAATTTTATGATAATACCTGCCCACAGAGAGGGCAAAATACAAAATAGAAATTTTTGCACATAAGTTAAACTTTTCCAACATAATTTTTGTTTATAAATAATGTTCCAGATATATTGATACTTCTATACGTATCTGAAATTAAAGCTTATTTAATATACTTAAATATGAAAAAAAAAAATTCGAACTTTACGTTGTCTTCGTGATGAAAATGGGTACCATGTTCAAGAATATGCTATCTTTGTGTTAAAATTTTCGGCTTTGTATTTTATTTTATTTTAAAATACCTTACAAGGGGAATACAATGATTTTTTATTTATAGCAAATCTCATCTTAATAATGATAAAACTTGGTAAAATAAAAAAAAACTCTTTCCTATTAATACAATTTTAAAAACATTTTAAGGATAAATCATATACACGGTTAAATTTAAAATTATTATTTGAATTTATTAAAAAGCAGATGGTATTTAATGCTATATTTTATGTGAGAATGAGTAGGTAAAAATTTGATAATCTATGAATAATTTTTATTAACGTACATCATGTGTAAACGTATAAATTAAATTTTATTAAAACATAAGTTATAATAAAATTAATGCTCACCAGTAAAATATTGTTTTTTGTACCATTTTTTAGATTATTTTAAATTTATCTATACATATATATATATATAAACGATAATAATTTACTAATAAAAATTATTTTTCTTGTTTCGCTGTAATTAAAAAAAATTATATAATTTCTAGACTTTCATTACTGCTGCACTTATAACAAACATTAAAAATGGGTTTCTATTTTTATTTTGGAATATTACTTTATTTTGTGTGTGTAATTATCAAACATACGTTTTCAGCTGGAACGTCAAATGTCGAGGAAAAAGAGCTTGTAAATATTATTATTTTATTCTCTTACTTTAATTATTTAGTAGTTCGAGTACCTTCTATAGCATCTATTTAAACACCAAGAGTTACGCAGAATTGATTACTAAGACTTCTACTTAAACGATTTATTACAATAAAAATACGAAAAAAAAATGATTTTAACAAAATTTTCTAAATAGAATTCTAGCAATACTTCGATTGAGAATACTTCTATTTTGTGTACTAGAGTTTTGCAATCTTTTAGTGTGTTTTTATTAATTGTATACAATATATAATAATAAACAGATTCTGGTTTGTAACGAGTATCCGTTTATTATTGTACCTATTATTGTCCTTTTTCCAAGAAATACTGTAATTCTTATTTAAATTTTCAAAACTTTTGATTATTTTTGCTACATCACCTATTAACGACGATTAATATATACATATTAATATTAATATAATATATTTATGTTTGCATAAGTATTCAATAAAAATATATAAAGTACTAACAAATCCAAACGAAAATAAACTTTTGAAAATTTTTATCAATCAGTTCTTTAGTAATTAGTTTATAATCTTATAAAACTGACAACTTTAAAAATTTTTACTTTTTTTCATTCATTATACTTATTAAGAATATACATGTGATCTAATTGTAATCTAAATTATTTTTTGTTTATCTGTTTTAAATACAAAAAAATAAAAAACATTAATTATTGTTCTTTGTAGTTTAAAGGTTTAACACAAGCAGATATAAAATATATCAGTTGTAACATAAAATTATCAAATATTAAAGAAAATGTAAATCAATACTTAATAGAACAATATGAATTGGATGATACGGAGGTAAAAGACATTTTTGATCAAGGTATTAAATATTAAAAATATTTAGCTCAAAAAGCAACAAAAAAAATTTCTAAAAAAAATCGTGGATACGTATTTCGGAAACAATATTACCATTATCAATACTAAGCACAAACTGACACACCGACATAAAAAACACTCTCTTATATACCCCTAGTAATCTTATCCCTAGTGACGTTATCACTAAGTAATATTATTACATTTTGCATATATTTTTACAATATCCCAAATAATTAAATTTTTTTTATTTTCAAGCATCTCTTATATGAAATTCATTGTGATTATTTATGTTTTTAATTAGTTTTATGGTTTTAATCGAGTGATTATGTGTCAATAAATGTTCAGCCACCAGAGATATATCAATTTCTTGATTTTTAATATTTATTAAGTTTTTTTTAAAGCTGATTCCTTTTTTTTTTTTTGTCTTGCGTAACATTTGTTAGAACTTTCACATTTTATTTTGTAAAAGCCCGATTTCTCGCTTCTTCTACTTTATCTTTAAAGTTACATATAGATATATTAAAATTATTTAAAATTTATTATTTATTGTATTATTTTTATACACAAGTTATCAATTTAAGGTAAGTCATACAAAAGGGTGGTATGTTGACGTGATAGATTGGCAGGATTTTAAAAATATTTAAAAAAAAAAAATTCTTGTGTAAAACATATGTAAACAATTACAAATGTGTAATGTTCCATTAGATCAATGTAATTGTTTTAATTTTTGATGTTTTAAACATGTTTTATTATTCAACTTTGCTAACTTTGTATAGCTATAATTTTAGGCAAATTAATATACACCTTATAAAAATAGCATTAAACTTCTTTGTGTAATAATGAAACACTGTCACATATAAATAAACCAAAATAACTTTTTGTTAACTTATATTTGTTCTTTATAACAATTCAGAATTAGTCATACTTTAAAATTTTTGTAGTTTGATAACATAGCGTTTTGTTTATTTAAAACATATAGCGCAATATTTTTAAAGATTTAACTAGCATAGCTTAAAAAAAAAAGAGTAATTTTGATTCAAGTTCTAGAGAGTTTTAAAATTTAAAGACTACAAATAGATATACATGTTTTTTAAGAAATGTCAACAATATGCTATATGAACTAGTTTATGGAATCTATAATATTAAACCATAATTTTACAAAATGCATTATAGTGTCAATACATAGGCATGTATACTACTAGGGTGGTTTTAGTAAATAGGGATCATTTTAAAAACTTAACTTTTCTAAAATTATACAATCAAAATTAGTTCCAATACTTATAAAAATGAGGTACGCAATGTTTCAAGTAAATCAGAAAAAATTAACCCGTTCTACAAAAGACCTAAAGTTTGAGAACTCAAAAATGGATTTTTAGAGCAGCTATAATTTTTCTTTTTGTATCAAAAGGAGCATTAGAATAAAAAAGTGATAATATCGTATTTTCTGGCGATAGATACCATAAATGACCACACATTTTTTTAAGTGTAACTTCTGATATAAAAATATACCAGAAGTTAAAGTTAAAGTTAAAAAAATATTTATTAAATACAAAAGAAGCTACTGGAATATTAAATAAAATTTTTCAAGATTTTATTTTTGGAAAATCAATGTAATTTTTCAAACGTTTTAATATAGATACTAGTTTTCTTACAATCGACCCATCATTACGGAGCACTGATAAAAATTTCAAGATATCAATAGACCTTTATAATAGCATTAATGTAGTAAATGATATAGCTGAAAGGGGTGTTAAACTAATGGAGGAGTTTAATACGAAAATAACAAACGATAAAAAACAATATTTGCTTCAAGTAGTAAATGAATACCGCAGTAAATATTCAGATTTCAAAAAGAGTACTCTTTTTGATAACTAGTTAAATGATTAATTTTTAGTTTTCATGTTTGATGTATCTTTGAAAATTTTTAAAAAATTTTTTTTGTATTATAAAATTAACACTGAATTCACTTTATTTTGTGAGTTTTTAACAACAAAATTATATATATTGACTTTTTATACATAAATAATAAGTAAATCAAAAAATTGTTCAAAATATAATTTTTTGCAAAATATTTCATGAAACAACTTTTGTTCTTACAATTTTGTAGTGAATTTATTATTTCACGCACTGAACTAAAAAAACAATGAAAAATGTACGGTTATCCAAAATTTTTGAGTTCTCATACTTTAGGTCTTTTGTGGCACGGGTTAATCTTTTCTGATTTACCTGAAACATTGCGTACCTCATTTTTAAAAGTATTGGAACTAATTTTGATTGTATAATTTTAGAAAAGTTAAGTTTCTAAAATGATTCCTATTCACTAAAACCACCCTAGTACACATGTGATTTGTTACAGCATACTTATCATTTGGAAAGTCCATCCGCAAGTTGCGGTACGATTCTGAGTTCAAATATTTTTTTAGAGACGATAACGAATAATGGTCAAATCTACTACCTTTGTTTATTTTATTTTTTCTATCCGCTTGAAAAGCCACAATAACAAATCTCGGGCTCTCAGTCTGTGAAGAAGTTTTCACAGTACAGGCTTGTCTTTTACTATTTGGTAATCCAGAATTTTCATATAGATCCCAACTTCGAAATGCTATTTGAATTGGTGTTAAATTTTCCAGGATTTTGAGCATGTCTAACCGCATGTCATCCGACACAGTTGCGTGTGGAACTTTCCATATAACTTTGTTCAAAATAATCTTACAACTCGATAAAGTTTCATTTGTCGAGTAAGTACAGTTTAAATCTGTACCACTTAGTTCCAATATTAACCAGAAGGTGTCGACGAAACGTATGGACAAGTGATTGATCATATGTTTTGTGATCGAAATATACTTCTCCTCGAAATTCGGTATGACCGAAATCTTTTAATCGTTGTACCTCAATTCAATGACAATGAAATGCGCGTCGTAACCCGAAAGGTGGTGTAGGTAACATGGTACGAAGTTGACTATCTTCACTTTTAGGTTACATATATTGCCCAACGTCTGTCTTAATCGGCTCGATAAATGACAGTGATCTGCGACTAGAGGGTTGGAATCCTTGAATGCTGTGCGGCACAAGTCACATACCACTTTCTCCCCATGCCTATACACATCTTCGGCAGACATTCGGATGGGAACGTTCGTTTTGCACAACAATTTGAAAATGTTACACGTCACTTCCACTACCGCCATTACGAATGCCTTGGTGACCTTTTCGCGATCCTCGTTCCCACTATATATTACTGGCGATTATGGTACTGTAGCGTTCAAGGAGTTCGGAGGACACATCGTCCGATATTTTTACCATGAACTCGTAGCTCATGTGATGTCGTGTCGTTTTTAGACTGATCATCAAAGCTAGTGAAACAACGTCTACAAGTGTATATGCGACATTTGTATTTGGTTTTTTGGTTGCGCACGAGCCTTGAAAAATTTGAAATGTATGCATAATGTAATTTTTCTAAGTCACCAATATATAACAGGTCAAAATGATTCTGTTGATCTTGATCGGTGACTCTTAGCGGATACACCAACCAAATCATCTTAACGTCATTTCGTTCTAAGCCGTAGACGTTGACAGACACGTTAAGGTTTCATTGTGTCGAATATTTTAATTTGAAGCACAAGTATGGGGAACGTCAAACCCGTGAAATCATACCTTAAAATAATTTCGTTCGACGCGAGATTTATTACTCCCGCTTACATACCTGCTTACAATTTACTTACTTTGTGTAGAAAACGATTGTGGTTGCTGGTTCGTGGTTTTATTTATACGTGTAAATTATTAAATTTATTAAATAATAAATTGTTAGTTTTCAAAAAGAAAACTGCACGTCAATGGTAATTAAAAACAAATATGACAGGATAAGAAGTGTTGAACCAAATATATAGTAAAGAATAAAATGCGTAGGCGTGAAACACCACTGGAGGTGTCATTTTTCTAATAAAATGCATACGAGAGTGATCGTTACTGTACAGTGGTATCTTTGATATTGGAAATATGCTTACCTAAGCGTCTGGAAATCGATGATAAAATTCTTAGAAAACGTTGTTAGTTTACATTGGGTTTCATCCTCACCCAACCCCCACCATTACATTAGTTTAGTTTTATTGTGTTTGGTAAAGAACGCCTTTAGCAAAAATCTAGTAGACCAGTTGTTACAAACATCGTTGATTATATTATATCGTGTGACAGCTGATCTCCAGCATCTTGCTTTACTCACTCCCTTGCCCACCCAGCACGGCAAATCGATGACCTCCGAGTCAATTGTCATCCGTGTACAGTTCATTGTCGTAAGTCAGTCAGATAGTTTAACTATGTGTCATTCTTTTCTGTAGCAAGCGCCATCGCTTGAATGGTAAATTGTTCGGCCGTTGTGCGTCATAATTTTTATTATATTTTGTTTTACTTGTATTTGTTATTTGATTGGTCCCTGACCATCATTAAATATCTTCATTGCCGTAGTCGCTTTTCCACCGTCTGTTCTCATCTGCCATTACGTGCCTAGATCTACACTCTGACTCGGCATACTCAGATGTTCGACACCATTACCACAAGATCTCATACAGTCCACTTATCACCATCAACAACTTCATCTGTTCAGCTGAGTTTTATATTATTTTTTAATGTTATTTATTATTTGTAATAATGAGGTTAACTATTTTGTTTTATGTCGCTTCGCCGGCCTTAGTATTTAAGGACCTCCCGCTAACCCTTAAATTTAAAATACTCTCTGAAGAATTTCTAATATATATAGTTATTTATTATTTAATTATTGTCTATTCTCGTTATTTATTGGATATACCGTTAGCCGTCATACCCTAGGTGACCCACTCACGCTTCAATAATAGCGATTTAAACAGGCGTATGGTAAAACGGCATTCTAGTGTGATGCACAACTAGCCGTCCTACGGTCTAACTGCCTCGTACAAAACAAATTGCATTAGGTTAGTTTACGTTGGATTTACCCCCCCCCTCCTCGATCTCGCCTACCACTGTAATCGAAGGAGGGTGAGTGGGTGAAACAGGAGAGTTGGATTGGGTTAGGTTTCCCCTATTTAATAATAGTGATTATTTCGTATTATACCGTTAGCCGTCATACCCTAGGTGACCCACTCACGCTTCAATAATAGTGATTTAAACAGGCTTAAGGTAAAACGGCATTCTAGTGCGGTGCACAACTAGCCATCCTACGGTCTAGCTGCCTCGTACAAAACACATTGCATTAGGTTAGTTTACGTTGGATTTACCCCCCTCCTCGATCTCGCCTTCAACTGTAATCGAAGGAGGGTGAGTGGGTGAAACAGGAGAGTTGGATAAATTTTAAGATACTCCGAGAAATTTCTAATATATGTGATTATTTGTTATTTAATTATTGTCTACTCTCGTTTACTTATGGGATGTATAATTAGCCGTCATCTCCTAGGTGACCCACTCTCGCATCAAAATAACACTTTTTAAACAGGCTTAAGGTAAAACGGCATTCTATTGCGGTGCACAACTAGCCGTCCTACGGTCTAATTGCCTCGTACACGACAGGAATAGTTACTGAAAGTAAACCAAAAACGTTTTGTATTTAGAAAAAAAGTCTATTCATCTCTGAATAAATTTAGAGTAAAATACTTTTATATTACAACTTAACCTTTTCATGCACGGTGGCATCATATGATACTACTAAATTGTAGAATTTATATAAAATCGAGAAATGATGGTAGCAATGTTATTATTGTTTTCGTTTAATGTACTGAACGTTGCGCATCGGTCTACTTGGTTGTGTTATCATTGTAAGAGATATTAATAAACGCAAAACTGTTTTGTGTATCTGAAAAAGTCAAATTTTACTTTTTTTTTATATATAATTAACAATAATTAAAACAATATAATGTCGTTATGTATTCGAAATTGCTTAGTTACCATGTGGTATCGAATGATACCACTGTGCATATTATATGAAAAATAATAACAATTTATACTATGATGTTTTTTTTTCTAGTTGAAAATGGATCTCGGGGATAAAGATATAGCTTTTTTTTTTATTTAGAAATCCCTAATGATTCAGAATGTGCTGTATGTCCAGAATGTATGAGAGCATTTCACACTGAATTATAAAAAAATTGACTACAGTTAATATTATTTTGTTAAATACTTTTAAAATATGTCATAAAAATTATATTCAGTTAAAAAATTGAAATTATCAAAAGTCTGAAATATAAGAAAAATACCTAGTCTATATATTGTATATATGCCTTGATGCAATTAGCGTCGTAATAATGTAACCGACACAATTTAACTAAAAAGAATCAGTGTAGAGCCGTTTATTCAAACCAAAAACATAAACGAGATACTACAGCGATTGACATATACGTATACACTAATTAAAGTTTACAGGAAATTAAGACAAAACAGAATAATGAAATGGTGCGTTGACGTCGGAAGAGAACGGTGCGAACAGTTCGGCGTTTTTTGCACGATGTGTATATGGCGGTATTACGAAGATGACTTCCTTCACGTATTAGTGCGGCGGGTATTCGACGATGGGCATTTATTGGACTTTACACCACGACGATAACGCGTGTGTGTAACGGTCTGGTTTACAGTGGAGCGGTGGCTGAATAGGAACTGAGTAGGGTGAAATAGAGAGTTCTAGGCCCTCTCCGCTTCACCCACCCGCCCCACCTCCGTGGTAATGGGAAGAGGGGTGGA